TCTATAAATTTTCGGGGTGTTACAAGAAGACACCACAAAGACGCTTCAATCGCACTCACAGAAACGTTGGCGGTGAAGAGAAAGTCACTACCCGCACACTCCACAATCGAACACCACCACCGCTAAGTCGAAGACGGCGATCTGCACCAACAAAGACGTCGAACAACGATCGCTCGACCAAGACAATCCAATCCGATAAACAACCAAACAATTGAAAACCCTGAGTAAGAAATTCAAGCGCTGACTACATTGAAGGCAAAAAATCAAAGATTCAGCTATGGATTTTAAGGGTAGGCTCTGATACCATATAAGAGTTTTTAGGCTGAATGCCCTTCCCTTCTCGGATTCTCGTATTATATAGAAATCGAAATATGTACATATATGGTATGTAATTAACCTAATAAGCTAATATGGTAATGTAATCGTCCTAAATTGGTAACTACAATCGGAATATAATCTCATTGACACTTACATAGAATGCCCTTTAATTGTAGTTGAAAAAATGATGGTAATGGAGACACAATAGAAGGTATATTGTTGTCGAAAATTACATTCTAAGTGCGTGATTGGCACCCATTCTTTTGAAGAATGAGTTTTTGAATAGTGATTGATGTAAAGAATGTGTGGTTAAAATGTAAGAAGAATTTTTGGGTTTATGTGTAATATTATTTTATTTGGGGAATGTGTGGTTAGAAATGAGTACTGTAGAAAAATGAGAATGAGAATGAGATAAAAAATGGGTGTCAAACGGGGGCTAAGTATTTAACTTTGATTTATAGTAAGAAACGGAGACTTGAAAATGATCTACGCATAGAATAACAGTAGTTAAACCACTATGGAGCAGTGTTCTAAAATACGTAATGCGTTGCGAAGCGTCAAGGCCGAGAATCAAGAATCACAAGTTTAGGCGTGTCAATGAGAAGAATAAGCGCCATAATGCGTTTTCCCGCATTTCCCGAATTCGACGCGGTTTGGACGCGAGTTGCACCAAGGCGGCGCGTTTTCACGTTTTTTAGAACATGGCTATGGAGAAATAATACAAAATTTTATGTAATTGGAAAATACCAAGTTAAAAGGCAAGTTCTACATGGCTATGAGACCAACTATGCTTTATAATACTGATTGTTGGGTTGTTGAAAGACAATGTGATGGAGATAGAAAGTATAATTAGGATTTTAAAATAGAGTTCTATTAAAAGTATGATTATTTTAAATGGATTAGATTAGATTAATTTCAATAATTCAATAAAGTTCTATTTTATTAGAAGTTTGTTCTAATTTAGATTATTTCAGTTTCTTGCTCTAGAAAGAAAGGGATTATTTAATGTAAGTCATAACCATTGAATATATGAATAAAAAATGATTTCCTTTGCCCTTAATTCTTCTCTTCTTTGCATTCTTTCTTTTCTTAATCTTCAATTGTTCATTGTCAAATATAAGCTCCTGTGTCACCATGTCTATGAGACCTATGCTGTAGAAAATGAAGATCCTAAGATGGACATGTAGTTTTACCAAAATTCATAAAATAAGAAAATTACAATATATGTCAACTAGTGGAGCTAACACTAATTGGGAAAAAATTAAGGGTAGGACGACACATTGTCCAGACATGTCTTATACCTAAATCTTTTATTCACCAGAACGATGCTATCCCTGTAGTTTTGGTAGATGTAGTTCTGGTAACAGAATATTTTTCTAATTGTAGTTTTGGTAGATGTAGTGCTGGATCTAATGGAGTGGTGGAAAAAGATTGGTGCAGGTGACACCACATTTACTGGGAATAAAACTCAAGTCAAATTCTATACACTCCATCTCAGGTTAACTCATGTATTTTCTGAAACTTTTTTCCATTCATGGAGTATTGCCTTGATGTATGTATGACTCCTTCTCTCAGTTCTATTGCTATACTTCATTTCTTTCATGTTTCATTTTTTGTTTTTTGCTATCTTCACTGTTTCTATGCCATTTATTTTTCATTTTATCTGCAAAATGTCTTTTGTCTGATGTAGGTACAAGTATGACAATAACACAATAATTGAGGCTTCATCTCCTGATATAAACTCACGATTACACCATCAGCTTTATGGAAATGGGAAGATTGGAGGTGATGCTTCTTCAAGAGGGAGTGAAAATCAACTTTTGGAAAGACAGGTCTTCCTCTATCTAGTGGCCTCTTTATGTATCAACTTCTATTTTTTTTTTTTTTTTCCAATTGCGTGTCACATATTTTATTTGCTACAGAAAGCACATGTTCAGCATTTTTTGGCCACTGAAGATGCACTCAACAAAGTTGCTGAAGCTAGAAACATGAGCCAACTACTTTTGAAACGTCTCCATGGAGTTGGTGGTGCAGATTCAAAACACTCACTTACAGCCGCAGGAACATCAGAGAGTATGAGCAGCCTCAGGCAACTTGAGGTAATATTTATTCTTTTTTTTTTTTTTTGGGTATACATAAGCTATGTTAGTTGAGTTTCAACGCTAACTTGATAAATGTCTTGCGTCATTTGACGGTTCTTCTTATTGTGAAATCAGAGTTGTATTTTATCAGGTTTAGATACCTTTTCTTGATTCAGCTTATGCTCTGCATAAATTAGCTTTGAGCAGGGCATAACAAATCATCTTTATTATCAATGAAGATCATATCTCATTGTTGCCTTGCCATTGTTGGTCCCCGCACTTCTTAGATCAAGCGTACAGTTGCTTTAATTTGCACTTCTATCAGAAATTAAGATGTCATGTCTTAATTGACTTAACTATCCTGACCAAAACTCGTTATGGGCTAAGACCATCCACCATTTGTATATTCTGAGGTGCAATGTGTCAGTGATATGATACAATAATTAAGGATGACCTTTTTATCACTTAAAATATTTGTTTGATTCTCTAATATGTTTGGGGTAATATTTATTTGGGAAGAAAAAATAAGACTGGATGGTTTAGGCATAGTTTTGTTCTATGTTGGGTTACAACTGAATGTTTGATCTTGGATCCAGCTTTGAAATTTGTACTTTCACATGTTGATAATAGTCCAGAACATTTCTTAAAATTTGGGCTTGGACTGAAGAGAAGGCATAAAAGCAGAAATGTGGCATTGGTATAGAAAGATGTAAGTATCAAAACAGCATTTTGAGGTACTTCTAACAATGGGGAACTCATAATCTCTGCCTTTCCATGCATACGCTGTGGGCAATCAAAACTGTCAAATGATTACCATCCTGTGCTGGAAGTTGAGGGGCTGTAAAGTCCTAAGGTCACTGGTTGAAAAAATAAAAAATAGGGAAACGAAAAGAATGCAGTTGATGCAAGGCTGCTGTTGTTTAGCTTTTTGCATAAAAGACAATTGTGTTTCTTTTAAAGTACTATATTACGGCCAAAGACATGGTTGTGCATATGTATTGAGTTTTTCTTCCTATATCGGTGTTCTGGTGGTGAGAGGGAGATTATGGACGGACATACCTACGTCCCTGATGCTCTTCAATTGAAAAAAAAAAAGTATAATGTATGTCTTCGGTTGATCATTTACTTTTGAAAAAGTTTCGTGCATTTTTTATATAGCTGTTCCGTTCAGTTTTTTGGGTAGTAATTGGACTCTGTAAACTCAAGTATTCATGGCTTTGGACATTAAACATATGCCTCTCTTCTTTGCAGTTAGAGGTTTGGGCCAAGGAAAGAGAAGCAGCTGGGTTGCGGGCCAGCTTGAACTTATTGATGTCTGAAGTACAGCGCTTAAATAAATCTTGTGCCGAGAGGAAGGAAGCGGAAAACTCTTTGAGAAAGAAGTGGAAAAAAATTGAAGAGTTTGATTCCCGCAGATCTGAACTGGAAACAATCTACAATGCCTTACTTAGAGTAAACATGGTAGGATA